GAGAGAGAGAGAGAGGGAGAGAGAGAGAGAGAGAGAGAGAGAGAGAGAGAGAGAGAGAGAGAGAGAGAGAGAGAGAGAAAGAGAGAAAGAGAGAGAGAGAAAGAGAGGAGGGGAGGGGTGGGGGGCAAGGGCCCAGGGGTGTGTAAAGGGGGTGTACTTCCATCGATAGGATCAGCAAAATCGAATGAATCTACCGCTACAACATGGAAATATACACTTCTTTTTTCTTTTCTTTTTTTTTTTTTTTTGTGTGTGTGTGTGCGAAAACTTAGGAACTGCCAGGGCATTTTGCAACATTGGGCAGCATCCTGTAGGGGTACATTGCAAAGATGGGATCCAACTGATGGCTGGGGTGTTTTGCAAAATGTTTCGTCATCGTCCTTCTCCGCAGCGTAGCTGCGGCAGGTCCACTTGTTGTTGGGTTAAAAACATAATTTGTGCAATGACCTTGCTTCTCCTTTTTGCTGTACTTACAACGTTTTCCTGAGCTTTTGGAGCGTAAAGGCATCAAAATGTGTCCGTGATTACAATTCTGAATGAAGGTTCTTGTGGTCGGCAATGTGGAGTGACCGCTTTGGTGATCCCTCAACAGGGGGAAATGGAGAGGGGTTGCATGTAGGCAGTATGACAGGGGAACTGAGGGCATTTCAGTGAGCAGGGGTAGTCTGTAGGGTGGACAGTTAAGGATTGTACGTAGACGTGGGTACGTACGGAGATGGCCGGAAGGTATTTTTAGAGCTCTGTATCGTGTTGTGGATAGGTAATTGGGGCGAAGGTATGCAATGATGGGTAATACATGCAGGTTGCGGTAGGGCGAGGGGAAGCCATGGGGTTTGATACGAGGTCATACAGGGACAGGTTACTCTCTGAAGGACTTAGTCATGGGAGTAGGTGGGGAATGGTGGAAAATGCACTATGGGCGTTAGATGGGGGATGTTGGGTATGCATTTGTGGGCCACAACTGTATTTACGTTAGTATATAGTCAGGTGCGAGAAAGTGGATGCGGTCAGAGTGACATGTAACATCCCAGGTTTTGTGCTGTTAACACTATGTTGCGGTCTCTGCGTAGTCTGGGGTGGATAGAAGGGAAAGGATTTCACACCGGCCAGAGTCCAAAGTCCCACTCCCGATTCCAAGTCTAGCATCTCCTGTATCATCGTCCAACCTGCAAGTACCATAAGTCACCATATAAGGTCCAGTAGGGTCATTAGGCCGTTCTAGTTAGAAAGTTCAGGAGGTCTGTCAGGAAGTAAGTCGTGTGTCAGTGTCACAGCTCAGTCCAAGGGAAGTCCAACAAAACTCCGTATGCGTCAACATCGACCGCTGCCACATGTCAGGGAACCGTTCCGAAGCGGAAGTCAGGCTACAACAAGTTCAAAGCCCGCCGCCCACACGTCATCGGCACAATTTGCATTTGTGCCTGTCGAGGAAGCATTGTTGCGAACTTGTGTGGTCAAGCAACGGATGAGGCTGAAGTACATGGTAGTTGATGGCACTCAACACCATAGCTCTACCTATTAGAATGAGACGGAGAGAGGGAGATGTATCGGTATCGCTTCAGGAAGGCATTCAAAGAGCAAGCGAGTTAGGCCTGAGGGTAGTGCAGGAGTGAGAGGGAGAGAGAGCCTTACTGGGTTTGAGTTGTGCGGTGGCCATGTATAAGAAGCGTCTTCTCCATGGAAAGCCCTCGAGATCTTAGAAGAAACTTGGTAAAGCCGCCTAGATAAAGGGGTCTTCTTGCATTTGTAAGAAGGGGGGACGCTTTATAAGGGGAAACACGGATCAAGCTGAAGAAGTATGTCAGGCCTATCTACGCAGCGGAAAGGACAGCTAACAACATAGAGTCGGAGCGAAGTCGGTTTCCCAAATTGTTTCTGAACCTCCAGCCCAACCACAGACTGACACCAAGTCTACACAATCACATTTTTCTTATGTAGAGCCTGAGGTTCGAATATGAGCCTCGTAATCTCGCTATGTGCTGAAACACCTCTGAAGGTATGAAGTACGAAGTCCTTCTTCGCCTAGATTTCTAAGCAAATGATCCCCATACATTGGTACAAGCAGGTTATCAGCAGGAACCAACAAAAAAGTT